TTCTCTTCTCTTCTCTTCTCTTCTCTTCTCTTCTCTTCTCTTCTCTTTTCTTTTTTTTGAGACAGGATCTCATTTTATTGTCCATCCTGAAGTGCAATGGTGTGATAACAGCTCACTGCAGCTTCAGCCTCCTGGGCTCAAGAGATCCTCCCCATCAACTTCCTGAATACTAGGACCACAAGCATACACCACTATATCTATTTTTTTTTAAGAGATAGGTTCTCACTATGTTGCCCATGCTGGTCTCAAACTCATGGGCTCCAGTGATCCTCCACCCATGCTGGGATTACAGTCATGAGCCCTAGCACCTGGCCAATTTTTTGTTTTTATCTCAAAGTTGTATTGTCTCAGCTTTTCACCAGTTTTTTTTTTTTTTTTTTTTTTTTTTTTAAATACACGGAGCAAGATTTGGGAAGATCCTAACAACTTATGTTTTGTGTTGCTCTATCAGAAATCTTCATATATTTAGCAATAAGCATGTATTACTTTGTCAAGAATATTCATTGTCTTACCTTTTTTCCAAGGCAGCCAGTTAACTTCACGTTAAAAAGTGCAGTGATCTGTTTACATGATCAAGTGCTTAAAAATAAAAAGTAAGAAAATTTTAAAACCACAGCATTAATAAAAGCAAAAACAAAGTGCCGTGTATTATCTCTACATTACAGTCATTGTCTCTTGATAATTTAAAGGCTAGAGCCCAACATTCTACTCCCCAGCTTTACTTTTCACCTATCTCTATTTTTCAGCATCTAATAAAAATAAGATTGATGAGAACACAAGTAGACTTAGTGTTCGATCTCTTAATTTCATTTCCGAGTTGCCTTAATTCCAGAGAGCAGAACTTAAGCCTAGGGTTTAAAACTTACCCACACAATATAGGGCTATTATATACTACTACTATATGTTCTTTTGTCTTTTCTGTGTTACCCGGTTCTCTTAGAATTGATAGCTATGTTGCCTTTATTTAATATTTACAGAGAAATTTAACATTTTTGAAAGTTTTAATCTTCATTATAACCTACTGGTCATTATGTGTCTATAACTTATTAGTTATAGACTAATATTACATACAGAAAAAGAAATCTTAATCTCCATTAGAGGAAACACTAAGTCCTTTTGTTCTGAAACTCTACTGCAGCTTCTGTAGTATAGTTGATTCCTAGGGGCCCTGGAATCCTCTTGTGTTGGCACAGTCTTACTAAACACAGAAGTTGGGAGCCTTCTAAGTTCAGGTTTATTGAAAAGGCTCCCTCTCTTTTTCTTTGAAAAATAAAAGTGCAAAGAAAGGAACCCTATAATAAGGACTGCTTCTTTAATCTCATAACAAAATGGAAAAGCTATTCCACAAAGTTACTATTATGATTTTATTAACATTTTGGCCCAGATGATCTTCTTTGCCTTCTCTCAACTGTAATAGGTGTTCTTTTCCCTCCTAGCTAAATTAATTCATAAACATTACTTTAATCAATATAACCTGAATTCAACATTTTAAATTTGTTGCTATTCACACAAAATATGATGTAATTAATTTTTTGTTGTTTTATATTTACTCAAGCAATAGAATTTTATCCTGTAGTTCAATTACTTTTTAGAAATTATAATTTATTGTAAGTAATTAAATTGAACATAAATACAGTCCTACATTAATTCAACTATGATTATATCTAATTATTCTCAAGAAATATTTGTATTTAAAAGCCATTAGAATTTTTTGTATGATTTTCAAGGTCTTCTGGGGTCAAGAACATTTGAATTGTTTAGTTCTTCTACATGAATTACTCAATGGATACCTTAATGAGGAGGGAAATTTTGAAGTACAAGTTTCTGAACCAGTGCCTCAAATGTCGTCTCCTGTGGAAAAGAATCAGACATTTAAAAGTGAACAAAGTTCAGATGACCTACGGACAGGTCTATTTCAGTATGTACAAGATGCTGGTAAGTAGCAACAGCCTTGGTATGAGAGAATGTGTGTGTGCATATGCGTGTGTGTGTGTGTGCACGCACGCACACGCGCACATTTTAAATGCGTGTTGACCAATATCACATCGAGATCACTTTCAAAAGTGCATTAAAATTTGCAGTACAAAAATAATACATTATCATTCAGTCTCTCTTTTGGGAAGTTGTTGATTTCTTTCTGCTCCAGAATATATAAAAATGATCAAGCTTCTTTATGTTTTTTATTCTCATAATTTTTCTTGCTTTACTAAGCCATGTTCCCTTTTAAAATCATGCAATTAATTATACTTTTATTTGACAGAATCTTTGAAATTGCCTGGGGTCTATGAAGTTTTATTTTATAATGAAACTGAAGATTGCCCAGGGATGATGTTATGGAGATATCCAGAACCTAGAGTGCTAACCCTTGTACGAATAACTCCTGTGCCTTTCAACACCACAGAGGATCCAGATATTAGCACAGCAGACCTTGGTGATGTGCTACAGGTATGTAATGACTACTCATTGCAAAATGAAAATGCTGTCAGAAAGGGATGATCATATGTTAGGAAAAATGTTTGGAACATACATATTTCTTACATTAATAGTATCAAAGAGAAATATGCATCTGCGTGTGTGGCATGTGTGTATTCACACACATGTAATAGGATTTTTTTAAATAAGGGAATAATGTAATTCAAATTCATGATACATGGCAATTTTTTTTTTATTGTACTTTAGGTTCTGGGGTACATGTGCAGATCAGGCAGGATTGTTGCATAGGTACACATATGGCAATATGGTTTGCTGCATCCATCCCCCCGTCACCTACATCTGGCATTTCTCCCCATGTTATCCCTCCACGACCTCCCCAACCCCTTGCTGTCCCTCACTTGCCCCCTCCCTGAAACAGACCCCAGTGTGTGATGCTCCCCTTCCTGTGTCCCTGTGTTCTCATTGTTCAACACCTGACCATGAGTGAGAATATGCGGTGTTTGATTTTCTGTTCTTGTGTTAGTTTGCTGAGAATGATGGTTTCCAGATTCATCCATGTCCCTACAAAGGACACGAACTCATTGTTTTTTATGGCTGCATAGTATTCCATGGTGTATATGTGGAATATATATTCCATTTTCCTTGTCCAGTCTATCGTTGTTGGGCATTTGGGTTGGTTCCAGGTCTTTGCTATTGTAAACAGTGCCACAGTGAACATATGCGTGTGTGTGCTTTATAATACAATGATTTATAATCCTTTGGGTATATACCCAGTAATGGGATTGCTGGGTCAAATGGAATTTCTATTTCTAGGTCCTTGAGGAACCGCCACACTGTCTTCCATGATGGTTGAACTAGTGTATACTCCCACCAACAATGTAAAAGTGTTCCTATTTCTCCACATCCTCTCCAGCATCTGTTGTCTACAGATTTGTTAATGATCGCCATTCGAACTGGCATGAGGTGGTATCTCAGTGTGATTTTGATTTGCATTTCTCTAATGACCAGTGATGATGAGCATTTTTCATGTTTGTTGGACTCATATATGTCTTCTTGTTGGACTCATATATGAACAGAAAGTGTCTGTTCATATCCTTCTCCCACTTTTGGGTGGGTTTGTTTGTTTTTTTCTTGTAAATATGTTTTAGTTCTTTGTAGATTCTAGATATTAGCCCTTTTTCAGATGGGTAGATTGCAAAAAAATTTTTCCCATTCTGTTGGTTGCCAGTTCACTCTAATGATTGTTTCTTTTGCTGTACAGAAGCTCTGGAGTTTAACTAGGTCCCATTTGTCTATTTTGGCTTTTGTTGCCAATGCTTTTGGTGTTTTAGTCACGAAGTCCTTGCCTATGCTTATGTCCTTAATGGTTTTGCCTAGGTTTTCTTCTAGGGTTTTTATGGTGTTAGGTCTTATGTTTAAGTCTTTAATCCATTCGAAGTTAATTTTAGTGTAAGGTGTCAGGAAGGGGTCCAGTTTCTGCTTTCTGCACACTGCTAACCAGTTTTCCCAACACCGTTTATTAAAGAGGTAATCCTTTCCCCATTGCTTGTTTTTATAAGGTTTGCCAAAGATCAGATGGTTGTAGATGTGTGGTGTTGCCACCAAGGCCTCTGTTCTGTTCCATTGGTCTATAGCTCTGTATTGGTATCAGTACCATGCTGTTTTGATTACTGTAGCTTTGTGGTGTAGTTTGAAAACAGGTATTGTGATGCCTCCAGCTTTGTTCTTTTTGCTTAGGATCGTCTTGGCTATGCGGGCTCTCTTTTGGTTCCATATGATGTTTAAGGTGTTTTTTTCCAGTTCTGTGAAGAAGGTCATTGGTAGCTTAATGGGGATAGCGTTGAACCTATAAATTACTTTGGGCAGTATGGCTATTTTCACAATATTGATTCTTCCTAACCATCAGCATGGAGTGTTTCTCCATTTGTTTGTGTCCTCTTTTATTTCGTTGAGCAGTGGTTTGTAGTTCTCCCTGAAGAGGTCCTTTACATACTTTTTTAGCTGTATTCCTAGGTATTTCATTCTCGTTGTAGGAATTGTGAATGGGAGATTGCTCATGATTTGGCTCTCTGTTAGTCTGTTATTGGTGTATAGAAATGCTTGTGATTTCTGCACATTGATTTTGTATCCTGAGACTTTACTGAAGTCGCTTATCAGTTTCAGGAGATTTTGGGCTGAGCTGATGGGGTCTTCTGAATATACAATCATGTCATCTGCAAATAGAGACAATTTGACTTCCTCTTTTCCTAATTGAATACCATTTATTTTCTGGAGAAAAGACTCACACTTTTTTAAATCCCCTCACTGACTTCCCCTAGTATCCCCTCAAAATGTAGGTGAGGCAAGATCCTTTGTCTTACAGACACATATGAGATAGTTTCTTATCTCCAGTGTGCTTAAGATCAATAACTTTCTTGGCCAGTACTTGTTTTTTAATGCCATGACTATGTAATACGTTGACAACTTCACATATTCTATAAATACTCTTCCAATTCTAATGAAGTATGAGCACTTTACATATTAAGTAATTTTCTGTTTTTGAAATTGAGTTTACAATGTAATGTTTAATGTCTGTACCTTGATGGTGTTTAGCTTTTCCTTGTGTTTAGTTTTCTAATAACATGTTATCTACTACTTGTCCATGGACTGAACTAAAACTTCATTAAATATTATAGTTGTGTGGGTTTTTTGTCTTTTTCATAAATACATTGAAAACGTTCTGAGTCAGAGTGTAATAGTTACTATTATCCAGTAAATTAGAAACTATACTTTTGCTGCTTTGAATTTGACTTTACAAGCTTCCTGTAATTCTGAAGCACATGGACCTGATAGGCAGAGGTTATGATATTAGCACATGATGACACTACAAAAGGAGAATCCTTCTGAGAGATTTGCAATCAAATATTATTTGCATCTTCCACACATAGCTTGAAAAAGAATAAAAGGAAATGTTCTTGGGTGTTTCTTTTCAGCTGGGCTGGGTGGTTCACTTATAGCTGCACATATGTTCCCAGAATCCTGAGCCTTTTTATTTTATAAGCACCTCCTGCCCACTGGCAGCTGTACTAATGTGTCCCAGAAGGCTTTGCTCTTATCCATCATCTTTAGGAGGGATGCTCAAAGCCATATATGAGATTCATTGTTGCTGAAATGCAGAAAGGAAAAAAAAAGACTTGGGGGCTTTAGGGAAGTAGGAGGCTGAGCCAGACTCTTAGGAAATAAAGGAAAGGGACAAGTCCCATGTACCCAGTGGACACAATAATAAATGTTTTTGAATGATGGGTAACGGGGCTGGATCAACTGCTAAGTGTTTTGCATCCAGAAGCCATTGCCTTCTTTTTTGGACAGAGAAAAATCTAAAAGTATTCCCTGAATACATTTTTAATCATTCTGTCTTCATAGTATTGTAAAAGCATGAAAAATAGATCTTGAATACATTAAAAAGAGCCCTGCCTGAGAATTTTAAGGTTAGCTCAGTGAATACAGATGAAAGGACCTGGGCTAAATGCTGAGAGAGAAACACAGAAGTAGAGAGCGCTCTAACTGTTCCCTCAAGGTACCTGTAGTTTTTTTAAGAGAGACAAGTACATAAAACATGGCAGGGCAGAACCTGTGACATACTACGAAAAAGCCACAGAGAATCTGCATTTTTAAACAAAGAAAGCTTACATCTGAATTGAAACATCAAGACAAGGCATCATGGAGGAGATGGTTACTGAGGTGATCTTTGAAGGATGAAGAGGATTAAAACTGAAAAAAAATGGGAATGAAGGTGTATGTAAAGAAAAACTCAGTATGAGCAAAATTTCAGAACTAGATAGAGAGGGCAGAATATAATATTTCTGGGAAGTGGCAAATAATCTGGTTTGACTAGCACAGGTTAGTCAAGTATGGGATTAGTGGAAGAGTGATAGGCTACAGATGTGGCTTCTTAATCTCCATTCATTCAGTAGAGGGAAAAGAGAAGGAAACTCATTTCTTGAGCACCTAATATGTACCAAGCACCAAACATGTTATTTTACATGTGATATCCCTTCTATCTTCCCTTCAACCCTGTGTGGTATGTACCATTATCTTCACTCTAACCGTGTGTGGTACATACTGTTTAGAGCTAAGGTAAATCAGATTCCGAGAAACATAATATTTCCAAGATCATAAAGCAAGTTATGGGAGTAAAACTGGAACTCAAATCTTGGTTTGTATGACTTCATAATTCTTTCTTCTTTGTTGTGCTACCTTGACAACATTTAGAGTGTAGGGTTTATATTTCATTTGATAGGCATTGGAGAACCACTGGCAGTCCAGAGCTTTGGAAACATTAGTAGTCTGGTGGAGGTGGAATGGAATCAGGAGACACCAAAGTAAAGACCTCGTCTGAGAGAGATGACAGGCTGTGATCTCAAGAGAGTAGTGGGGAAGGAGAAAAAGAAATGAATGCAAGAGAGGTTGTAGAGAAGAAATCGATGTTCTTGACAACAAATATGCTAATTTAATAATGAAGTAAGAGACGTCAAGGTGAATGCAAGATTTAAGCTCAGTGGGAAGTATGGCAAAAGCATTTATGCAGTTTTGGAAATAAAGAGGAGTGCCTGCTATGCAAGACGCTATTCACTTTGTGAGCTGCTTTACACAGATTCTATCTAAGCCTGAAATCAACCCTGCAGAGAGTGTTGTTATCCCCCTATTACGGTGAGGAAGCTGAGGATCTGAAGAGTTATGTGAGGGGCCTCCTCTCACCCAGTTTCAGGAAGTTTATAGATCCCCCTATAAGCTATGTATGAGTCTCTCGTGAAGAATCACAAGAACATAAGAAACACTGCTGGGGTTTTTAAGCTCTATGTCAATTAGGATTAAGGTTCAGATATGAAAGACAGAAAATATAAAATACTAGCAGCTTAGGTAAAATAGAAGTTTATTTCCTGTCACACATGGGAACAATCTGTAGGTTGACAATCTAGGACTGCGAATGTCTCTACGAAGTCATGAGGACCCCTTTTCCTGCTGTGTGCTGC